GGGTCACGCTAGTAACACCAGCCTCCCTGCGGGCAGCCCTGCTGGTGTGAAGCCCAGGGAGGCCGCATGGCGAGCAGGGCTGGGGGGGGATCTGGCCCAGCTTGGGTTGGCTCAGATCCCGGGCCTCTCACTGTGGCTCTGCCTCCCTTATCACCGCGGAATTTAAGAGTGGGTGTTGGCTTGGCCTCGGCCCTGGCGTGGGACAGTTATTCAAACACAGATCTCTCCCCCGGTGACCCGGAGTGACAAGCAAGTCAGGATAGGGTCGGCTGTGCTGGAGGATGGAGGCAGGTAGGCACCTGGGGTGGGACACGGGGAGCACCGGACTTGGGAGACAGGGGAGCATCTCAGGTAAGGTGAGAATGGAGGGGGACCCCTGGCTGGAAGAAGCAGGGAGGTGAGCTCCCCCAGACTCCCCCATACCACGACGCTTGGAGGCTCTGCCAGCTGCCTTGGAGGGGAGGTTTCAGAATGAGATTTGTGGAAACATGTTAGTGACCCCTGCCCCAGCCAGAGACCCACCAGGTCCCCGCTTCCTGTACCTCGTGTGCCCCAGCTGGCATCCGGGTCTGCTCCACAAGGGGCCAGATTGGCATTCTGGAAGAGAAAGAGAGAGGGCGGCAGGGGGCAGGTTGCAGGGGGCAGGCGGTTGCTGGGGTCCCGACAGCCTGGCCAGGGAGGAGGGTCAGCCCCCAGGGCCTGCTGAGGCCCGGCCTGGAAGGGCCGTGTGCACGGCCACACTCCCCCGGGGCTGCTGGCTTCTGATGGGCAGCTTTGCTTACATGCCTGCTGCCGCCTTCCACACTCTGCTGGCCCTGCCTGTCCAGGGAGCTCCTACCCGCTGTGAAGACAGCTCCCAGGAGCACAGCCCCTGGGCTCCGCAGCTGGCCTGGACTAGGCGGATGAAGGCTAGGCCCTGGCACAGTGCTGAAGCCGTTCCACAGGGCCCCTGCTCCCTCCAGACGCGCCATCCCCAGGTGCTCGGGTGGCCGGTGTCTGTAAAGTCCCCGGCGCAGACCCTGAGTGTCATGAGCACTCACAGCGTGGCTGTGACTGATGGTGACACTCAGGGGGTGGCACTCTGTGGCGCTGTGGACCTGGGAGCCCCACCACCCATCTCAGATGCCCCCCTCACTTGTCCACAGCGTCATCAGCAAACTTTGCCATTTTAGTGCATCATGACTATTAATGTCTGGAATTCTCTTTCCTTCCTGCCCACCTGAAAAAGTCATCCTACAAGCTTCTACGGAGGGTTCCCACCCCGTAAAGCAGGTGCTGAGCCCTGCAAGGTTAGTGGGTCCCTCTCCTATCCAAAATTGCACCTGTGTTTGCACCTTGAGTCATGCTTTGCTGCTACCCATAGTGGAGAAAAATGTTTTATTCGTGCCTGTATCCCTGCCACCTGGTACAGCATCTGAGAGGGGGTCGGGGCTCTTGGCCAGCGTTTCTGAAATTGGGTACAGGGGTTAAATTTCAGTGCAGAGCGTTCTGCAGTTAATGGGGAGATTATATGCGTCACTTTGGTTTTGTTACAGGGAAAAGGGCTTTCAGCACAAATATACTGTGATGAGAGGTAAAGGAGGAGCTGGTCTTAGTCCCAGTGAGTGTGGGGCAGACGGGACCTCAGGAAGCACCGAGCCCAAAGCCCTTCATCCTAAATAGGGAAACTGCGGCCAGAGATGCTGGGACTAGGGTGGGGAGAGGGGTAGGTGGAGGGTTGGAGCCAGACTTTACATTTTTGATACTTTGTCCATCACTGATTTTTTCATTAATTTGGACTTTAAAAAACATTGCATTAGAATTTTATCTGGATTACTGAGTCCTTTAGCCAGTGCCTCGTGTGCCTCAGCGTAGTCCCAGCCCTGGGACCCGGGGCAGGGGGTGGGACGTTGCACCTCCTTCACCCCCAGAACAATTCTCCTTGGGAGTTTTCAAAAGCAATTTTTGTAGATATTTTCTCAGGCCACTGACACGCACTCCCCCACCCTCCCCGTGCACCTGTCTGGTTAGGGAACCTCCTGCATAAAGCAAGGCAAACCTGCCACCCACCAGCCTTCGTCCACCTGGCCTGTTCACGATATGAAAGAGAAATGCTGCCCCCTTGTGCCCACTGTTCTGCATCACAGGCTGTCAAAACTCCCGGGTCCCCACAGCCACCTCGGGCAGTTGGAAACTCACTTCCTAGCAGCAGAACCAGCTTCCTCTGACCTGCCAGGCTCTAAGACGAGATGGAGGGAGGGTGGGGGCATCTTCTGGGTGGAGACGGCGCACCGTGTCAGTAGAGACCAGGGAGAGAGCAGTCTGCTGCTGGTCTTCCAAGTGCCAAGTCAGAGTGGGGTCTTCAGGACCTTTTTGGTGCAAGGAAGCCTTGGGCCACTGCTTCCATGTGTGGGCTGGGAGGAGAGCTAAGTGGATAGGGAAGCCCCACAAAGGCAGCACCAGCAGACACCTTTACTAATCTCCCCTGCAACCTCAGGAGGAGGGCATTATTATTGCCATTTTATGGCTGAAGCTCAGAGAGGTTAAGTAACTTACCTAAGATCCCACAGCTAACACATGGAACTGTGAAAATTTTAACTCATGTATTTTACTTTTCAAAAATCATACTGGGAGTGCCAATAGTGAGAATAAATTGTGGCCCTTTGCCACTGACTACTGTTCTTCCCTTGCAAAGCTCGCATTGGAGGGCGCAATCACACTCAGTAGACACTGACGTGGAAGTAAGAAGGGGTAGAGAGTTCACTGGGGAACTACACTATATACAGAACTTACAAAAAGATTTCACAACCATAATGTTACCTCAGAGTATCCTTAAGAGGGAAGGCTAATTTGTTTTTTAAAGACCAGGAAACAGAGACTCAGACAATTTAAGTAACTTACCCAAACACACACCCAGTAAGTGGCAGAGCTGAGATTTGAACTCAGGGTGGCCTGAGGCTAATGCATGTGTTCCTTCCAGCATTACAGTTGGAAAACATCAGACTTTAAAAACTTGTTAAGCTTTTCTTTGTAGCGACATACATAAACATTTTTATAAATGTTTCATGGACATGTGACAACCTGATTCAAAAGATACGCATTTCTTTCATATATCAACTAGATTGAGTTTGCTGCTTGCACTATTCCATTGCTCTCTGCATTTTTTCTTTCACTAGATCCATGTTGATTTCAAGAGTCATATTCAAATCGCCTGCCACACGCACATTTGATCAAGGTCTCTGGCACTGCCACGTTGCCTGGTACGCGTAAATTCATGAATGCTGTAGCTGCTTTGTAACTTGTGCCATCATGAGCCGGTGTTCCCTCTTTGTACCACTAATCCTAATTCGCTTTCACCTCAGTTTCCACCTTCTCTGATATTAGCATCGCCACTCATGCTTTCTTTCTACTTGTGATTCTGGTATGTCTTCCCCATCCTTTGACTTCCAATCTACTGGAAAAAAATTTGTGTCTATTTTGTGATGACACATGTTTTTCTTTTTTTCCTTAATTAATCTAATCTGACAGCCTTTGTCTTCTAGTAGGAAAGTTCATTCCGTTCTTACTTAGCATCAGGGTTTTTCAAAACGAGTCTCTTTCCAAGGGACCACCACAAGGATCTGTCAGTGGACAGGGGTCACTCTCTGACTAGCAGGCCAGGTGGTAAATGTGTGACCAGTGCCGTCTCATCCCAGAAGAGCCTTTAGTAGGTGGTTGTTTCCCTGTTTATTCCACAGAGAGGTGTGAACATCTACCAGGTGGCAGGCTCTGCGGCAGGTGCATTAGCAGGACACCCTGACAAGGTTTGGGACTCACAGTGCTTGCGCTTGTGGCAAGTCCCTCCCAGGACGGGAGTCAGGCCCACCTCTGCCTCCCCCAGTTTCCCGACTTCCTTCCTTCCACGTGACAGTGAGAACTATACAACGGCTCACATCTATCCCTAAGCCCCGGCCATCAGGCGCTCAGCTCAGCTTCAATAGTTTTCCCGCCCAGTGCTCGTTCGTGTGCTTCTGACAAAATCTCCTCTCCGTCTTTGGGACTTGGTGTTCTGGGGTTTTTGGTCACACTGCCTCTTTGCCCTTACTTTAGCTCACCTCGGATCCTTTCTGAAAGTGAAAATAAACCCAGAAACAACTTAACACGTGACTCGGAGGAGCCCTGCTGGCCATGCACATCAGTGAGTGGACATGTCCCCCAGGGGACCTCCGGGGAAGGCCCGCGTGCTGACGTGGCTGAGCTGTAACAGCCTGGCCGTCAGTGGTCCGGCCCTCCAGGGAGAGACAGGCATCAAGTTACGCAAGAGTCTTACAGAGAGTGAAGGAAAAAACAGGAGAGATTTGCAGATCCTAGCTACTACGTATAAAATAGATAAACAAAGTTACACCGTGCAGCTCAGGGAGCTATGTTCAATATCTTTTAGCAGCCTACAATGAGAAAGAATACATGGATGACTGAACAAGCGTGCTGTACGCCAAAAGTCTACACAACGTTCTAAACTGACTATGCTTCAATTTAAAAAAACTTCTCTTAAAAAAAAGAACGTTAGTAGGAAAAAGAGTCCTAAAGACAAGTCAACTGTAATTTTCACCAATCTCCCAGATAAGCAACGTGAAAAGCTAAAAATCTACATGGGACAACAAACTCCATCTTGATCGACTCCCCAGGATGGATAGAAGGTCACCCAGGCTTCTAACACTTGGCTCCCCACCCCGAGGCTGGCAGGAGAGACCTTCCCAGGGGGTCTGGCTCTCCAGGCTGCAAAGGGAGGAAGACAGTGTCCCTGCCTGAGCGCCTGCATCAGCTGTTCCCAGACTCGCTCGGGGCTGGAGTGTCTGCCAGCCACTCTGCAGGTGCAGGGAGCCACCCACCCATGTCCATCCAGCATGTAAACCAAGAGGATGCACGACCCCATCGCGGAAGGCACGAGCCTTTGCATCTCTCAATTGAATTATTCTCTTAATTATCTTTCACATTTTGAGAGAAACCCCAGTACCTGGCTTGGGGGGTGGTGCACCTTGGTGTGGACGTGGCCCAGACCGTGTCCACAGTGCACACGGCCCCCGAGCCAGAGAACAGCGGTACCAGGTGAGCACAGGGCCCTCTGACGGGCCCCCTCTGCCCTCAGGACCTGCATGCTGAGCTGAAAGTTCTACACCCCGTGGGGCTGTGGGTGCCCTGGGGATGTGGGTCCTACTTTCTCCTGCCCCTGCTTTCCCTGGAAGATGAGGGGTGGGGAAATCCTTAGAAGGGAATTCCGGGAAGCATGCTACATGCCCGCTCCAACTCGGCCATTCCAGAACAAACAGGAGGCACAGTTAGTGGGATGGGTGGGGTCACAAGGGGCAAACCGCGCAGAGGCGCGGGGCCGGGGACTGACACAGCAGTGGTCCCACAGAGCCCGAGGGAGACGGACAAAAGCCCTCAGGTGCCTGCTCTTGGATGTGCTGGTGGCCTGCACCCTGGATTCGAGTTCCCCCACGTTAGACACCCATCACCATAACTGCCCCAAGGCAACACAGGGGGACAGAAACTTGAGTGGCTTCTCTTGGGGGATGAATTGCTTTGATATGTGGACAGACTTCCTCTGACTGGGAAGAGGCTGCCACAGCGGTGGCAAGTCTCCAGGGGCTCTATGTGTGGGGGGTCGGTGCCATCATGCCTGCCCCCCAGGGGCCCTCACTGGGGACCTAGCAGAGCTGTGGGAAGAGGGACAGACATCGTGAAGGCCCAGATGTGGGGGACAAGTCAGCACCAGAATGTTTGAATTGAGTTCTCATGTCCTGAGATCTGGGGAGCTGGAGAGAAGTTCAAAGCAGCCTTCTGCTGGGAGCAGGCAGAGAAAGCCATCTCCTCGGGGTGGTTCTGGGGACAGTCACAGTGCTGGGACACCATCAGTGGTGATGACGGAGCCGGGGGCGGGGCAGGGGAATTCCAGGAAAAGACCCTGGGCTCACACTGCTCACGGAACATCCCTATCTTTTAAGGTCCTTATTAGACTCGAGGTCTCAGAAGAAGGATGCTTAGGAGGGCCTTGTGGAGGGTCTGATTCCTCTGGGGGACCCCACCACCCCAGCCCCCTCACACTGAGGTCTCCCTGGGGGCTGGCGGCTGGGAGCAGAGGGGAGGAAGGGGTGTTGCTGGGTTGTGGCCTGGCCCTGGCTGGAGCAGCGCGTCCCCGGGGCCCCTCCTCCTGGCTGCGTGGCCATGAAGCTGCGGGAACCACACTAGGCTCAAGGTGATGTTAGTATGCGCAAGCCGGGGAGGGTGTGCAGGGCGGGGTCAAGTACCTACCCGGTGGTCCAAGCCATTCTTGCCATGTCCAGGGACAGGGTCAGACTTGGAATAGGGGAACCCTGAAACAGACACAGCACAGCTCCGTCACGCACGCAGCCGGGCTCGGCCAGGCGCCGGACGGGGGCTTGCCCCGGCCAGCAGGGCAGGCGGGTGACGCCCGGAAGAGCACCCCTGCCTCATCTGAGACCTCTGTCCCCAGGGTGCTGACTGAGGATGAGCCAGGAAGGAGGTGACATCCCTGGGCCCACCCGTGACACCAGGACCGCCAAAGCTGACCTGGCCTCGGCAGGCACCCGTGTCCTCCGGCAGCCTTGGGCCATGGCGTCATGTCACCAGGTCACCCGGCAGACGGGGAGAGCTGGGGACAGAGTGAGGAAGGAGTCCCGCGCAGGCAGGGGGGCCGAGGCCAGCCCCACCAGAGGGGGCCAGGAAACTGCTCTATTTTTCAAAAACTCTTGACCTGTTTGCATCTGGGGGATTTCACAGTAAAATCCTAGTGTCTAGTTTTCCCCCCGGTAAAAAGTGCAGGTCTGAGACACGGGGCCCTGGATTCCCCGAGGGAATCTCACACCCGGTGCACCTCTACTGCTCACGTCCCTGGCTGCCCTGGGGATGGCCCCAGGCTTTGAGACCACCCATGAACTTCTTCGGTGCCACGCCTGGAGAGCAGGGGGGTGCTCCTGGCTCAGAGGTGAGTGTGGGATGCATCCTGGAGAGGAGGGCAAGTGGCAGAGTCCTGGCCCCCCTGGAGGGGCAGGAGGA